GGGTACCCGGGTAGGGTACGGGTATCGGGTACCCGGTTGCGACCTCTGCCTCCAAACTCTCTGCCGTTGGGGCCTCGACTTATGCTCCGGTGATCGATCGCGCAGCGGCGTTGTCGCGACCCGCGCTGTTGGTTCGAGGGATTGGCTTCGAGAACGAATCGGCTTGCCCACGCGCGTGCGCGCAGGCGACACGACGAATATCGGAATCAGAATATTTATACCGGAGGAATCCGATGAGCTATGAAGCTCTTTTTGCCACACATCTCCTGTAGGGGTGGGGGGTGAGAAGGTTACAACAAGAAGCAATACACAAACAAATCACTGACCAAAAATATATACAAATAAAACTAAACTAATCAACCAGGTAGGGTGTTGACTGTTGTGTTAGCTGACTTTCTGTGTTGTATGGCATTGTATTTCTAAGTTTACTAGCTTTGTTTTCTCTTTCATTTGTACCTGATGATGATTGCTTGTGTTGCAATCGAAAAGTCGTATGCTATTATTTAATTTATATTTTCTTTATACGTGACTTTACCGAAAGAACCAAAGAGTAAAACTAAATTCTAGATTTGAAGCTTTCGTGACTGCTGTACATTTTAGCTGTGACGGTCCCACCTGATGATGGAAGACTTGTGTTGCCTCCAAAACTTCGTGATTTATTATTTTATTTCTATTATTATTTCCATTAGTTTTATTATTTATTATTATTTTTTAACTACGTGACTTTATCGAAAAAAACCTAAGAGTAAAATTAAACTATTTTATTTTCGCAGGTAAGGCCCCACTGACCTATTATCTCCTTTTTCAGAAGCAACCTGGCCACAAATGATAGCTCAACGAAGTGGCTTATCACGTGGAAAATGTATTGCAGCCAAATACTCTTAACGCGTGTTGATTCTAAATGTGGAGGGCAAGATCGGAGGACCCGGAGAAAAATGCTCGCGACCACGGGAAGAACATGCGAATTCTAAATATACAGCAGGCGTCAAGGTTGGGATCGAACCCACGACCTCCTGTATACCAGGCGAGGCGGTTAACATCTCGGCACCGTTGGGCACTTTTGGTGCAAATTTATAGCAACCAAAGAATCTAAATAATCTAAACGCGTCTTTCTAAATGCATACTGTGTCAACCCAAACGGTTTACCCGTATTCTTGTAAACGGAAATTGAGTTTTCAGGTCCACATGGCATACAGCTGTTTCAATACGGGCAATGTTTTTTTATATTTGTAGGATGAACGTTGAGATGTATAAGGGGGCACGGGGTGACCAATAAAGTCTGAATTGGTCTGCAATAAGGTAGGGCACTGATAAGGGGTTGACAGCTATGGCGTGGTGAGCGTGTGGGGGCAGGCGTCCACCCCACCGCTCTCGTAGAGCCCCTGCCGACCAGTGTAGTGGTGAGTGTAGTGGTGAGTGTACCAGTGGTGAGTGTAGTGGTGAGTGTACTAGTGGTGGTGAGTGTAGTGGTGAGTGTAGTAGTGGTGAGTGTAGTGGTGGTGAGTGTACTAATGGTGAGTGTACTAGTGGTGAGTGTGCTAGTGGTGAGTGTAGTGGTGAGTGTACTAGTGGTGAGTGTACTAGTGGTGAGTGTACTAGTGGTGAGTGTAGTGGTGGTGAGTGTACTAGTGGTGAGTGTGCTAGTAGTGAGTGTACTAATGGTGAGTGTAGTGGTGAGTGTAGTGGTGGTGAGTGTACTAATGGTGAGTGCAGTGGTGGTGAGTGTACTAATGGTGAGTGTACTAGTGGTGAGTGTAGTGGTGGTGAGTGTAGTGGTGAGTGTACTAGTGGTGAGTGTACTAGTGGTGAGTGTAGTTGTGGTGAATGTACTAGTGGTGAGTGTACTAGTGGTGAGTGTAGTGGTGGTGAGTGTACTAGTGGTGAGTGTACTAGTGGTGAGTGTACTAGTGGTGAGTGTGCTAGTGGTGAGTGTAGTGATGAGTGTGCTAGTGGTGAGTGTAGTGGTGGTGAGTGTACTAGTGGTGTGTGTAGTGGTGGTGAGTGTACTAGTGGTGAGTGTACTAGTGGTGAGTGTACTAGTGGTGAGTGTAGTGGTGAGTGTACTAGTGGTGAGTGTACTAGTGGTGAGTGTAGTGATGAGTGTACTAGTGGTGAGTGTAGTGGTAGTGAGTGTACTAGTGGTGAGTGTACTAGTGGTGAGTGTGCTAGTGGTGAGTATAGTGGTGAGTGTACTAGTGGTGAGTGTACTAGTGGTGAGTGTAGTGGTGGTGAGTGTACTAGTGGTGAGTGTGCTAGTGGTGAGTGTACTAGTGGTGAGTGTACTAGTGGTGAGTGTGCTAGTGGTGAGTGTAGTGATGAGTGTGCTAGTGGTGAGTGTAGTGGTGGTGAGTGTACTAGTGGTGTGTGTAGTGGTGGTGAGTGTACTAGTGGTGAGTGTACTAGTGGTGAGTGTACTAGTGGTGAGTGTAGTGATGAGTGTACTAGTGGTGAGTGTAGTGGTGGTGAGTGTACTAGTGGTGAGTGTACTAGTGGTGAGTGTGCTAGTGGTGAGTATAGTGGTGAGTGTACTAGTGGCGAGTGTACTAGTGGTGAGTGTGCTAGTGGTGAGTGTACTAATGGTGAGTGTAGTTGTGAGTGTAGTGGTGGTGAGTGTACTAGTGGTGAGTGTACTAATGGTGAGTGTACTAGTGGTGAGTGTACTAATGGTGAGTGTAGTGGTGGTGAGTGTACTAGTGGTGAGTGTACTAATGGTGAGTGTACTAGTGGTGAGTGTACTAATGGTGAGTGTACTAGTGGTGAGTGTAGTGGTGGTGAGTGTACTAATGGTGAGTGTAGTTGTGGTGAGTGTACTAATGGTGAGTGTACTAGTGGTGAGTGTAGTGGTGGTGAGTGTAGTGGTGAGTGTACTAGTGGTGAGTGTAGTGGTGAGTGTACTAGTGGTGAGTGTACTAGTGGTGCGTGTAGTTGTGGTGAGTGTACTAGTGGTGAGTGTGCTAGTGGTGAGTGTAGTGGTGGTGAGTGTACTAGTGATGAGTGTAGTGGTGGTGAGTGTACTAGTGGTGAGTGTACTAGTGGTGAGTGTACTAGTGGTGAGTGTGCTAGTGGTGAGTGTAGTGGTGGTGAGTGTACTAGTGGTGAGTGTAGTGGTGGTGAGTGTACTAGTGGTGAGTGTACTAGTGGTGAGTGTACTAGTGAGTGTACTAGTGGTGAGTGTACTAGTGGTGAGTGTGCTAGTGGTGATTGTCTATTTGTGTTTCTTCCTTGCGATGAGACTTTGAAAGATGAACGTTGTGATCACTGATAAGGGGTTGACAGCGATGTGAATGTTTTGTAAACATCCTTTTAATCCACACCGGACGCAATTCCCAACCGCGAATCATTCATCCGGAATTCAACCCCCACCCACAGTGCCGAATTATCCTCGTAGCAAAAATTAGCTACATATGTAGTAGTAGTAGCTACTACATTTGTAGCAGTAGTAGCTACTACATATGTAGTAGTAGTAGTGGCTACTACATATGTAGCAGTAGTGGCTACTACATATGTAGCAGCAGTAGCTACTACATATGTAGCAGTAGTGGCTACTACATATGTAGCAGTAGTAGTAGCTACTACATATGTAGTAGTAGTAGTAGCTACTACATATGTAGTAGTAGTAGCTACATATGAAGTAGCTACATATGAAGCTACGGGCCCCGCACTTTCAAGGGCCCCGCGCTAAATGCTTTGAAGCTTTCAATTCCGGTTCAGTGATTCTGCACTTGCTCTATTACTATAGTACTATACCGCCTTCAACTTTTATGAACGACTGCGTGTTTAAGGTGAGCGATTTGTCGTATTATCTGGGCGTATGGCAAATGAAAAAATACAATTACTTTACTATGCAAGTAAAAAAAAATTGTGTTTTAATATTTGTGTTTTTTTTTAAATATTCATAGCCCCTTTATAACAACATGTGCTCCAGGCCCCGCGCTAGCTTAGCCCGGCACTGCCCCCACCCACCGAGCAACTCTCCGACCTTTGACCTCCTCCGCCCAGGCAAAGGCAGCCAGCGCCTTTCCGGACAACTTTCACTTTGCATCGTCGAGGCTCTGAATTCTATCTTTTAGTTTCCTTTGTCGGGACCGCTCTCTCTCTCTCTCTCGCTGTCTCTCTCTTTCTCGGAACATTGTATCGTGAACAACAAACAGACACACGCACACACAAACCCATCTCGACAGGTAAAGGATGAACGATGCTTGTGGTGGGTGCAGCAGAATGCGTTGTGATCGTTGTTGAGTCTACATTGTTCGCTCCTCCGCTGACGGACCCCTGGCTGCCGTTGTTTGTTAACGTGCAGAGAGCAAGGGCTGCGTGCAGAACGAGAGAGAGCGAGAGAGTGAGCGAGAGGTGGGGGTTTACATAAAGCAAAGTTTAAAAAAAAATTACGAAATGATGAACGAAGCAAAGTGCCGACTACACCGAGCATCTTCTTGTTTCCACTGATCGTAAAAAAAACAGAGCCAGGGATCGTGGCCCAAGCAAGCCTCGGCTGCAGCCATGAAATAACACGACACGACTCCACACAATTCAGCTTCATACTCTTAGGTTTTTTCGGTAAAGTCACGTAGGTAAAAAATTCAATTAAAAGTTAATAAAAGTAATAATGGAAATAAAATAAAATATTAAATCACGACGTTTCGGAGGCAACACAAGTCTCCGTCATCAGGTGGGACCGTCACAGCCAGATTTGCTGCATCACTTGATGCTGCCTCACTTGATGCAGCAAATCTGGCTGTGACGGTCCCACCTGATGACGGAGACTTGTGTTGCCTCCGAAACGTCGTGATTTTATTATTTTTATTAATTCTAATTTCATTTTTTACCTACGTGACTTTACCGAAAGAACTAAGAGTAGGAATCCTTGCAGTCACGAAAGCTTCAAATCTAGAATGCATGGAAGTTGTGGTCTCGAGCGGTCCGTGCTGAAATCTGTCCCCTGCTGCTGCTGCTACTGCCCTTGCCCCCTCCTGCTGCTACCCTGTCTCCTCCTGCTGCAGCATCGTGGGCAAAAGGGGCAGTCGAACGCCATGAGCTCCACGGCGGAGCTCACCAAGCCGAGGCTGGACGAGGCGCAGGCGACGGAGCTGATCGTGCGCCTCTACGGCCTCGGCGTGGAGCGCCTGGCGCCCCTGGACAGCTACGACGACCAGAACTTCCGCGTCGCTACGATCGACGGCGCCGAGTGGGTCCTCAAGGTCACCAACACGAGGGAGAGCCGCAATCAGGTGGGGCGGAGGTGGTGGGGGGGTCGCTCTCCACCACAACCACCACCACCCTCCCGCCCACGCGCCTCTGATTAGCAGCGCAGTTGGCTATGTATGGCGCGAAAGAAGTTCAACATAAATATACAATTGTAATGACAGGGTGCCTGCCACCTGTTGGCCAGGAGAGGTAATCACGGGTATGGGCGCGTTGAATAATAACCAACCAGAAGGGGGCGTGTCTGGGTCACGCCCTCCCGGCACCCCCCTCCCCAACGACGACCAGGCTTATCCCAAGCCCTTCTTATCAATTATTCCGTCATCAAAAATACAGCCGCCACTTACAATAAACCCAATTCTTAATTTCAAATCATCATCATCATACGCACAATTTCATAACTGCGGTGAAAGCGCCATGGTAAAGAAGACGCTGTTATGAATCTAGATTTCAAGGTCAGATTCTCTGACAATGTTGCAGTGTTGCCTGACACGGCGGTCTACAGGTAGTCCCCGACTTACGATATTTTGATCTTACGATGGCGATAGCGATATGACAACATTGTCAAATATTTAACATTTCGCGCGGCAGGCAAACGCAGCAGCGCACGAGGTACGATCTTGGTGAGCGCAGTACAATATGATACGTTACGATACGTTCAATGCATGTATGATACGTAGTAGCTTTAGCGATTTCATTTTAGGGTTACTACGATACGTTCAATGCATGTAAAAAGTTTTTTTTTATAGCAGATAGGATTGTATCCTGAAAAAACTTTCTATGAAATTGCAGTTCATACAGGTAGGCTAAGAATTTACCTTGTTTTTTTGTTACTTTACATTTTACTGTGCAATACAGTATTGTAATTAATAAACACATACAGTATATAGTTGATACAGTACAGTACTGTAATTTGCTCTGTTTTGCTAAATTATCACCATTCTTTAAGACTCCTGGGTAGGTTAGGCCATCTTCGACTTACGATATTTTCGACTTACGATGAGGTCGTCGTAACGCATCTCCGTCGTAATTACAGGACTGCCTGTACTGTTGTTGTGTAGTGGACCCAGAAACAACCCGGGTACGCTTACTCTTTGGTTTTCGGTAAAGTCACGTATAAAGAGAAAATAATAATTAAATACTAGCATACGACGTTTCGATTGCAACACAAGCAATCATCATCAGGTATAAATGAAATAGAAACACAAATCTAGTATATCTTCTTGGTTCTTTCGGTAAAGTCACGTAGAAGGGAAGTAATAAAATAATAAAAATAAAACGTAATATATTATTTTATTATGTTTTATTTTTATTATTTTATTACTTCCCTTCTACGTGACTTTACCAAAAGAACCAAGAAGATGAATCCCTGCAATCACGAAAGCTTTAAATCGAAATCTAGTATACTTAGAAATGTAATACAACAGAGAGTCGGATAACATAACAGTCAACACCCTACCTGGTTGATTACGTTCTTCCTGAGAATGCTAAATTTGAGAGAGAGAGAGAGAGATAAATAAAACACAGAACCAGAGACATATAGACAGACACACAAGCAGAGACAGATATCACAGAGATACATAGAGAGAGACACATACATCGGCATACAGAGAAACCACGTCTCTGTGTCGAGGCCTTAAATAGAGAGAGGGGGGCTGGGGTACGCTTGTCAAGTTCAAGTTCATTTATTAGGTATAGCCCTGTGAGCCATTCGGCTCTTGAATCGGGTGCAACCGCAACAAACAAAAAAATTAACAAAAAACATCTTAAAGTGAATATGTGACTAAGTGCAAACAGAAAATCCAAGAAAAGACAGCAAAATATTGCAGAAAAAACCACCGTACACCAACGCTGTGTACAAAAATCCCAGTGGGATGCAAGTCAAACAACAACAACAACCACAAGACAACTTAGATTAAGGCCATCAGTCTAACTGTGTACTACAACAAACAAACATGGCTAAACCAATATATTCATTCTTTGGTTCTTTCAGGTTAAGTCACGTCTAAAGATAAAATAACAAATTAAATCTTTAGACGTGACCGAAAGAACCAAAGAATAATTCCTGCAGTCACGAAAGCTCCAAAATTAAGATTAAACCAATACACTTTTCGAAATCGCCAAAATAAAGCCATGAAACCAATGAAAGCAATTAACGACTTAGGACCACAAGGGGGAGACTCTCTCTCGCTGCTGCGCGATTACAGCGAAGGGTCGCGCAACGTGGCTGGACGCAACTGAATTGTTTGGGACACGTGGTCGTCCCCGCCTGGTGTACGGGAGGTCGTGGGTTCGATCCCTCTAGCCCAGTGGTCGGGAACCTATGGCTCGCGAGCCATATATGGCTCTTCCGGTGACGGCATATGGCTCCCAGACAATTTTGAGTTGAAAAAAATAATTTAAAAAAAATCAGTTTGGAACTGATTTAAAAATACTTGTGATATTGCTTAATAATACTGTGTCATTTTAAAGTAAACAGAAATTAGTTTTGAAGATAAATTTCACGGGTCACGGATGCCGTGACCAGAAGTCGCATTAAAAGTAAGACATATTTAATTTATTATACGTTAAAAATACTATATGGCTCTCAATGAAATATATTTAGAAATATTTGGCTTTTATGGCTCTCCCAGTCAAAAAGGTTCCCGACCCCTGATCTAGCCTGACCCCTGCAGATTTGCATGTTCTAACACACCTTTAGAGTCTTAATTTTGGAGCTTTCGTGACTGCATGAATTATTCTTTGGTTCTTTCGGTTAAGTCACGTCTAAAGATAAAATAATAAATTAAATAATAGCATACTACGACGTTTCGATTGCAACACAAGCAATCAGCATTGACATGCTAATTTTTTCTCTGCCCCCTCCCTCTCTCCACCCCCGCCCCCCTCTCTATATTTAAGGCCCCGTCACAGAAACGACCTCTCTCTTTGTGCCGATATGTGTCCTCTCTCTGTGTGTCCTTGTGATGTCTGTCTGCTTGTATGTCTGTCTATAGTTTTCTAGTTGGATTTTTGTTGCTATTTCTTTTATGCCTGATGACGATTGCTTGTGTTGCAATCGAAACGTCGTAATATGCTATTATTTAATTTATTATTTTATCTTTAGACGTGACTTAACCGAAAGAAACAAAGAATAACACCTTTAGAGTATTTTGGCTGCTACACATTTCCACTGCGTTGAGCTATCATTTGTTGACAAGTCTCTTCAGCGGAAAGAGCTGTACAGATTAAGTGAGGCCTTACCTGGTAAAGCAACAATGAGTTTAGGGGCCGTCCATAAATTACGTCACGCACCTAGGGGCGGGGGCGGGTCAGACATTTGTGACGATGTGTGACGAGGGGGGGGGGGGGTTTGAGTAATGTGACATCACATCAAAATTCGCAACTTTAAATAAATATAGACAACACGTTCTACTTAATTAAATAGACTTTTTAATACATTTCGATTTAAAGCTTTCGTGACTGCAGGGATTCATCTTCTTGGTTCTTTCGGTAAAGTCACGTAGAAGGAAAATAATAAAATAATAAAAATAAAACATAATAAAATAATTCTCACCTGAAGACGGCTGCTTGCGTTGTGGCCGAAACGTCGTGAGAATTATTTAATGATGTTTTATTTTTTATTATTTTATTATTTACCTTCTACGTGACTTTACCGAAAGAACCAAGAAGATGAATCCCTGCAGTCACGAAAGCTTCAAATCGAAACATTTGAGGGGGGGGGGGGGGGGTTGAGAAATGTGACGTCACATCAAAATGCGCAACTTTAAATAAATATAGACAACACGTTCTACTCAATTAAATAGACTTTTTAATAAATGTTTTCTCCTACAACATCAGAGTGCAGCGCCACATTAAATACGCACTACATTGACAATAGTTTAAAGCGATTTGAAGCATGTTTTTTTTTGGGAGGGGGGGGGGCAGAGCTTTGTGACGTCATATTTGAAGGGGGGTCTGACTTTTTGTGACGCCGTGTGACGAGGGGGGGAGAGGGGTAAAAAATCGTCCAAAATCGCGTGACGTCATTTATGGCCGGCCCCTTAGCTTCAGTTTAGTTTCATATAAAATAACTTCGTTGGTGGACTCTACATCTCTGGCCGATTTGCTGTGAAGGTTGATTGCCCGAAACGTCGCCTATAACAGGACCCTGCTGTTGTTTAAAGGAGTCTTGAGACTCGTTGAGGCTTTCCTGTAAACACGCGTAGCAGTAATCGGAATGATTAAACATCAGCCTACCGTCTGCGTTATTATTTTGTTTTGTTTCCGGTCTTGACGAGTCTGTTATCACAGGGTTGGAATGCGTTGTACGTGTCGTACGTATGTTGTTATGTTTATGGAGTATGTTGAACTTCTTTCGCACCGTACGTAGCCAACCGTGCTGACGTTTCACCATCCGGCGGCTCGCCACCCTCAATGTCCGCAGGAAGTGCTGGAGGTGCAGACGCGTGTGATGATGTTCCTGAAGGACGGGGGCTTCCCCACGCAGACGGCGCGACTCACCGTACATGGAGACCTCATGTCCCTGCAGCGCATCGGTGAGATGCAACGACCCGGCCCACGTGTGGATGCTATCCTCATGTGCGCGCACGCGTTTTTAGGATATTTCTTTCTTTGGGTCTTTTCCCCAAACTTTTTTGTTCATCACACAGTCGGTCATCGATTATCCCGCTGTTTCGAACATTATCCGGGCCGGTCCTGGGGTCGATCCGGCGAAACCGCTCGAAAGGCTGTTAGCAGGTCCGGCGATCGGCACCACGATTGGTTTCAGTGTTCAATATATACAATACATTATACACTACATACAGCTCAAACAATGAAAATGGTGCACGTATATACATCACCCCATGCAGAGTCTTCTCGATTGGAGTCGTAAATACGGCACAGTAAATACAGTCACTTTTAAAAGTAGGATACTTCTTTGTCTATTTGTATGTTTATTCATGCCGATTTCATATCGTAAACAAATTAAAAACACAAAAAAAAACAGAAGACAACACCTAAAAAAAAAAGTCATGCAAGAATATGGAAAAATAAATATTTTTTTAAATAATGATCAGCGATTATCCGGAGTTTTTGATCATCCGGCGCCCCCCGCCCCCCGAAGGCGCCAGATAATCGATGATGTCCTGTGTGCATTTCGTTCCGATTGCATTCTCGGCAATTTTTTTGGCCGTTCAGAAACTCTCGCCGAGCGGCGCGACGCGCCCCGCGCTAGATAACGGAAGCAGACGTCCGCAGATCTATTTCTGCAATCCCTTCCAGTGACATCGAGTCCGCACACGAGGTGGGGAAGGTGGGGTGGGGGGCGGTAGCTCATTCCGAACTCACCCTCCACAGAGAAATGTTTCTCACCTGACAGTCAAACTGACAGGAATAGAATTTAGCCAACTAAAGTGAATACTCGAATATAATGCAATGGGTTTTCGTCGTCGGTGACCGGGACGAGACCATCGACTCACTTCGCTTGAGAGCCCGGTTTTATCACGGGCGGCCGAATCCTGAACTCCAACAAAGGATCTCAGTGGTCCAAGCGCCCTCAGCCATCCGGAAGTGGCACCCATCGGTCAGCAACCACGGAGAAGATCTAAAGCCAGATGGTAGTGGTGGTGATGAGTGAGATTGTAAGGACCGGTCATCTGCTTGGCAAAAAATATATCACAATCCAGATATCAGTAATGATAAGAAACTTGGGCCAGACCTCGGAGGGTCAATTCTGAGCTTCCGAGCAGCTGTAGGATCCAGAGAAAGGAAGCAACGATGAGATTGCACTAACCGTGGTGACCTCTTGACCTCTCGACCTCGGTGGCGACTGCTTATTGTGAATTCTCAGACTGCGGCGAAGGTGAGAAGGAGTTCAACGTGCGGCTGCTCACGTACCTGCCCGGCGTGCCACTCTCTACGGTGCTGGCAGGACGGCAGCCTGTACTACCAGGTGGGCAAGCTGGCAGCAAGCATCCACCAAGCCCTGCAGCAGGTACGAGCCCACGAGCACTGAGGGCGCGTCACGACGTGTCTCTTAACATGTGATGTGAGAATATTCACCAAAGTAAAAAAGGCAAAAAAAAAAGAAATCGCAAGTCACTTGAATGTTCTTGGTTCTTTCGGTAAAGTCACGTAAAAGGGAAATAATAAGATAATAGAAAGAAAACATAATAAAATACAATTCTCACGACGTTTAGGGCCCCACGCAAGCAGCCGTCCTCATGGGAAGAACAGGGCTTCATCTTTTTGGTTCTTTCGGTAAAGTCACGTAGAAGGGAAGTAATAAAATAATAAAAATAAAACATAATAAAATAATTCTCACGACGTTTCGGCTACAACGCAAGCAGCCGTCTTCAGGTGAAGAATGAAACCAAGAAGATGAATCCCTGCAGTCACGAAAGCTTTAAATCGAAATTTACTTGAATGTACGTACACACGTACGTACGTTGAATTTATTTCGCATCGTACGTAGCCAACGGCGCTAATCGGAGGTGGGAAACGCGTAGCGATCGTCGCCCCCCATACTGCGACAATCTTAGCAGGAGCCACGTGAAGAAGTTACATCCCAGTCGTGTGTTCACTGGTGTCACGTCATCATATGAAGAAATGTTTATTCGCAACTCTCACAGAAAAGAATAGCCTGTGGAAGGCGATATCATAGAACTAAATTTTGATTTAAAGCTTTCGTGACTGCAGGGATTCATATTCTTGGTTCTCTCGGTAAAGTCGCGTGGGACCGTCACAGCCAGTCCCACCTGATGACGGAGACTTGTGTTGCCTCCGAAACGTCGTGATTTTTTTATATTTTATTTTTATTAATTTTAATAAAATTTTTACCTACGTGACTTTACCGGAAAAAACTAAGAGTATCAATCCTTGCAGTCACGAAAGCTTCAAATCTAGAATTGTTTCAATTAATTTTGCCGTCTTCGTCTTTTAAACGTGTGCGCAGTTTGAGCACCCGTTCCTGCGCTTCCTGCAAAGAGACGATTTCATCTGGAACCTGTCCAACACCCACCTGCTCGAGGCCTACCTGTTCGCTCTGGACGGCGACCCCAACCAGGGCCTGGTCAGGGAGGTCATCGCCAAGTTCCGCGAGGAGATCCAGCCCAACCTGCATAAGTTCACCAGATGTACGCTCGCCTCAGGCCACCTTGAAACCCGATTGGTCGTCACGTATGTTGAACTTCTTTCACACTGTACGTAGCCAACCATGCTCATCGGAGGTGTGGATATCACGGAGCTCCTTCTCAGAGCCCTGAGTGGTGACCCGGTTCGCAGAGTAGTATGGGGCAGCACTTGCCCACTCAGTCTACCGTATGAGAGTAATGTTCGTCGCATGATAGTCCAACTGATATTTGAATTCTCCCAGCTAGGGTTTAGCCAATTTGAGTGTGGAATTCCTCTTTGGTTTTTTCGGTAAAGTCACGTAGAAAGAAATTAAATTAAATACTAATAGAATACGATGTTTCGATTGCAACACATGCAACCATCATCAGGTACAAATGAATGAGAAAACAAACATAGTAAACTTGGAAATATCATGCAATCAAACACAGAGAGTCGGCCAACACAACAATCAACACCCCACCTGGTTGATTAAGTTCCTCCAAAGATTGCTAAATTTGAGTTGGCCGACGCTGTGTTGTATTTCATTATATTTCCAAGTTTACTATGTTTGTTTTCTCATTCATTTGTACCTGATGATGGTTGCTCGTGTTGCAATCGAAACGCCGTATTCTATTATTATTTAATTTAATTTCTTTCCACGTGACTTTACCGAAAGAACCAAAAAATCATTCCTGCAGTCACGAAAGCTTCGAATCGAGTTTAAGTGTAGAACCCAATTTACTTTGATGTTTTTTTGTTTGCGTGCAACCATTGATGGCGAGCAAGTTGAGACCACCAACAACTCGCCACACTTGAGAAGGCCGTTCAATCGCGGGCGGCTGGTACCCCGATTCGTACCCAGGCTCTCAGCGGTGCCGGCTCCGTGTCTCTGACCTGAAAAGCAAGGGGCCTAAACCATCACGCGAACTTCGGTCATCCTCGCAGCAGAGGCTGTTGGCTAGCCATCGGACAAAGACGGTCACCGCATCGCACGCTTTCAGATTCGCTTGTGCGGCCGTCTGGAACACTCTTCCTACCGATATAAGGAAGCCACTGGAGCTATGCACTTTAAAAATCTAGATTGAAAACTCATTTCTTAAGAACCGCTTTCTGTGTTTAGTTTGTTGTCCTTCCCCCCCTACGCCTCCGGTTAGCACAGTTGGCTACGTACAGTGCAAAAGAAGTTCAACAGGCATACACACATACACCACTGTCTGTAAATGTTTAGACAGATGTGGCGATGTTCCATGTACAACAAACATCGGCGGCAGAGAGGACCAGTTTCAAAAGTCGGTATTTTGACTCGTGCGAGATTTAAAAAAAAACAAGAATTCTGGGGCACGTCTTAAACCATGGGGCCTAACTCACATACTGCCTGCCCGCCTCCAGGTATCGTTCACGGAGACCTCAACGACCACAACATCCTGGTGGAAGAAACGGGGCCGACTCCCGCAGTCCAGTCGTCGGAGACGGGCGAGCATGCCGCTGGGGGCCAGTACAAGCTGTCGGGCGTCTTGGACTTCAACGACATGATGCAGGGCTACTGCGTGTACGACATCGCCATGGCCGTCATGTACATGATGATCGAGAGCTCGCGGCCCATGGACGTGGGCGGGCACATAATGGCCGGCTACGAGAGCGTGCGGCCGTTGACGGAGGATGAGAGGGAAGCTGTCTACTGGCTGGTGGCGTCCAGGTTTGGCACGCGTGCACGTACATACGCAGACACAATGACCCCCCGCGTAGCCTACACAGGCTGTTGGAGCAAGTATGTGTGCATGTATGTATATCATGGGACCTTCTTTGCCAGTACCAAAATACGATAATAGGGTTTTCCCCTTTTTTTCTGGCAACAAAACAGGCGTTAAGATGCCTGCACTTTTCCAGTGCTGCAGTATGTATGTATGTTGACCTTAGTATTAGGTTTTTACCCTTTCAACTGGTACAAAAACTGACACCTTTATATAAGGCATCATGTTTGCAATAACCACAACACAAGCAGTCAAAATGCAAACAAAAAGAAACAACTCTAATGATGATAATGATATGCACTGTCCTTAAAGTTGATTGGTCCACACCCGAGACAGCTTTTCTTAGAGCCTAGTCTCCATTGGTGTTGGACCAGATGACGCCAAAAGGCGTACAACTCAAAAACAGCGCACTATCAGAGTATTGAGAGCTCGGGGTAAGCATTTACACTATAAGATCTCCTTTACCAGTGGCAAATATAGTAATATGTTTTTACCCTTTCAACTGGTACAAAAACGGACACCTTTATACAAGGTGACACCTTTATACAAGGTGTCTGTTTTTGTACCAGTTGCAAGGGTAAAAACCTATTACTATATTTTGCCACTGGTAAAGGAGGTCTCATAGTGTATATGTTGACCTTCTTTCACACCGTACGTAGCTACCTGTGCTAATCGGAAGTGCAAAGTTCTGTTAGCGAGCCCCTATTAAGGCTGGCATGGCGCACAAGTGGGTGACGTGGCCAGCACCATAAAGGGCCCCTATGTCCCCTCAAGTGCTGACATTTACATGCCGTACCAGGTACTCATTTAATGCTGAATCGACCTAGGTGAGGCCCAGGACTGGTTCAGATATTCGACACTGATGTTGGCCGTGAGTGGGAATCGAACCTGGGTCACCAGGTTCCTAGTGGAGTACGCGAATCATTCTTAACCACCGCGTAAGACACGCGCAAGCACACACATGCATACATCTACACACACGTACATGAATCAACACTGCCATTTGCCACTAAGTGACAGTGACGTGACCGTGCAATTATGCCAGGCTAGGTGCACAGCGAGGCCACGTGAAGTGTCTTTAAAGTCTCGCTGGTGGGAGGTCATGAGAAAGACCCAGGTGTTTAACCGACCAAGATGATTGGCTGAGACTCAGCCGCTCGACATTGGGAGCGTCACTCAACGGCCTTCTGTTGTCGCTGAAAGCTGGCTACCTGCACTTTCCCAGTGCTGCAGTGTTTGGTATTTCACAATCCTTGAAGGTGTTTGTCACACGGTGGCTGAGAATGCGAGCTACATGCCACGGCCAATGCTTCCTTGTTGATAATTTGCATCGGACCCCCCCCCCCCCCCCACAAAACTATTGGTGCCTGTAGCTTCTGCCAGTAACTGGTGCTGGTTTGGGATGCTGCTAAAGTGTGGGGGGGGGAGGGGTGTAATGGTTCGCACATTTGAATTACAGTCCAATGATCGCTGGGTTGGTTCGATATGCCTGCGTGGCAGTAGAAGCAACGCGGTGAGTTTCTTAAATCCTCCCTACCGCCTCTGTCCACCCAGCAAGCAGTATTACGGTGTGTGTGAGTGCACCACGGGTTAGTCGATCGGCAGGTCGCGCGTGGTGTGGTAAAGTGTGGGTGACACCCACCTCTTCCTAAGTCCGTCTGGTCAGCATGCAAGTATGTTTTACACGTAGGCTTTCGCGACCAATATTGTTAATAATCAACGTTTTTGGGTTAGATCGCGTTAATTCTGGCGAATTGCCCGATGATGTTGGATGCAATTACCAGCGAAACGTCGTACTCAAAAAAATTGTAAATGTGGTGGTTTCACGCTTCAACACACCGGTGGGCTAAAGCAGTGAACTATTTGTCTTTTGTCAACGGGACACTTTTTTTGCTGATTGGCCGTGTCGGGTGGTGGAGGGTTACGACACATTTATAAATAACGCGATCTAACCCAAAAACGTTGATTATGAAGCATGCAAGTATGTCGGTCTAATGTCAAAACACCCTCCCTAGAGGAGGGCTCCTCCAGGGCTCTGCGTAGCGGAGGCCCCTTGCGGCCAGCAGCGACGCCAAGAGAGCACTTGCAGGGCTGCACCTTTACATTCGACCCCCCCCCCCCACTCCGCCCCCCACCGCAGGTTCTGCCAGTCGCTGGTGCTCGCTCGCTACACCATCCTGCAGCACCCGGAGAACGCCGACTATCTGCTGACGACGGCGCGCACCGGCTGGGAGAGGCTGCGCCGGCTGTGGGCCACGGGGCGGGAGGCCATGCAGCGGCTGTGGTCAGACGTGGCCGCACGCCACGAAAACACCGACTCTCTCGCCCCGACAAATTAACTTCACGCTGCCGGGAGGTGTGGGCGGAGTGGGGGGCGGGCGGTGGGCAGGGGGCGAGGGGCCCCCCAGTCTCTCGTGAAGTGTGGTTGGTCACTGCACATCCTACGGTCGAGAAGCTTGTCGCTCCGATTCTGGACGAAGGCTGCCAACGTTCTGGGAGGCTCAACCGGGACACGCGGTGAGCCCCGCCCACTCACTCACTAGCCCCGCGCACTCTCTCACTAGCCCCGCCCACTCTCTCACTAGCCCCACCCACTCTCTCACTAGCCCCACCCACTCTCTCACTAGCCTCGCCCACTCACTCACTAGCCCCACCCACTCACTCACTAGCCCCTCCCACTCACTCGCCCCACCCACTCTCTCACTAGCCCCACCCACTCACTAGCCCCACCCACTCTCTCACTAGCCCCTCCCACTTTCTCACTAGCCCCTCCCACTTTCTCACTAGCCCCTCCCACCCTCTCACTAGCCCCTCCCACTCTCTCACTAGCCCCTCCCACTCTCTCACTAGCCCCACCCACTCTCTCACTAGCCCCGCCCACTCTCTCACTAGCCCCTCCCACTCTCTCACTAGCCCCGCCCACTTTCTCACTAGCCCCACCCACTCTCACTAGCCCCTCCCACTCTCTCACTAGCCCCACCCACTCTCTCACTAGCCCCGCCCACTCACTCACTAGCCCCACCCACTCTCTCACTAGCCCCTCCCACTCACTCACTAGCCCCACCCACTCACTCACTAGCCCCCACCCACTCTCTCACTAGCCCCTCCCACTCACTCACTAGCCCCACCCACTCACTCACTAGCCCCACCCACTCTCTCACTAGCCCCACCCACTCTCTCACTAGCCCCGCCCACTCACTCACTAGCCCCACCCACTCTCTCACTAGCCCCTCCCACTCACTCACTAGCCCCACCCACTCACTCACTAGCCCCGCCCACTCTCTCACCAGCCCGCCACTCACTCACTAGCCCACCACTCACTCACTAGCCCCACCCACTCTCTCACTAGCCCCTCCCACTCACTCACTAGCCCCACCCACTCTCTCACCAGCCCCGCCCACTCACTCACTAGCCCCACCCACTCCCTCACTAGCCCCACCCACTCTCTCACTAGCCCCCCCCCACTCTCTCACTAGCCCCACCCACTCACTCACTACCCCCACCCACTCACTCACTAGCCCCTCCCACTCTCTCACTAGCCCCACCCACTCTCTCACTAGCCCCACCCACTCTCTCACTAGCCCCGCCCACTCACTCACTAGCCCCGCTCACTCACTCACTAGCCCCTCCCACTCACTCACTAGCCCCACCCACTCTCTCACTAGCCCCGCCCACTCACTCACTAGCCCCACCCACTCTCTCACTAGCCCCACCCACTCTATCACTAGCCCCTCCCACTCTCTCACTAGCCCCTCCCACTCACTCACTAGCCCCACCCACTCTCTCACTAGCCCCGCCCACTCACTCACTAGCCCCACCCACTCTCTCACTAGCCCCACCCACTCTCTCACTAGCCCCACCCACTCTCTCACTAGCCCCACCCACTCACTCACTAGCCCCACCCACTCTCTCACTAGCCCCACCCACTCTCTCACTAGCCCCACCCACTCTCTCACTAGCCCCCCCCCCCCACTCTCTCACTAGCCCTGCCCACTCACTCACTAGCCCCACCCACCCACTCACTCACTAGCCCACCCACTCACTCACTAGCCCACCCACTCCTCACTAGCCCCTCCCACTCTCTCACTAGCCCCACCCACTCTCTCACTAGCCCCACCCACTCTCTCACTAGCCCCACCCACTCTCTCACTAGCCCCCCCCCACTCTCTCACTAGCCCTGCCCACTCACTCACTAGCCCCACCCACTCACTCACTAGCCCCACCCACTCACTCACTCACTAGCCCCTCCCACTCTCTCACTAGCCCCTCCCACTCACTCACTAGCCCCTCCCACTCTCTCACTAGCCCGGCCCACTCTCTCACTAGCCCCGCCCACTCAGTCACTAGCCCCTCCCACTCTCTCACTAGCCCCACCCACTCACTCACTAGCCCCTCTCACTCTCTCACTAGCCCCTCCCACTCTCTCACTAGCCCCTCCCACTCTCTCACTAGCCCCGCCCACTCACTCACTAGCCCCGCCCACTCACTAGCCCCGCCCACTCACTCACTAGCCCCGCCCACTCACTCACTAGCCCCGCCCACTCGATCACTAGCTACTAGCTCCGCCCACTGCTCGGGTAGCTCCGCCCACTGCTCGGGTAGCTCCGCCCACTGCTCGGGTAGCCCCTCCTACTGCTCGGGTTGCTCCGCCCTTTGCCCCACGTGAAGCCAGAAGGTGATTTCGTGGGTTCAAAATGGTTGGGAGGACAACCTGGGGACTGCCCAAGACAGACCAGGATTTCGATTTAAAGCTTTCGTGACTGCAGGGATTCATCTTCTTGATTCTTTCGGTAAAGTCACGTAGAATGGAAGTAATAAAATAAAATAATTATTTTATTATGTTTTATTTTTATTATTTTATTATTTCCATTCTACGTGACTTTACCGAAAGAACCAAGAAGATGAAGACAGACCAGGATGTTTGGTTGACTTATCTGATACGCCGTCCTTGTTGCAAATGAACAAAGCATTTTGGATTTATTTCCAAAGCTCGGCTGACGTTGTAAATTGAAAACGAATTTATTTATAAGTGCAAAAGAAGTTCAATATGTAGGTATTTGAACTTCTTTCGCACCGTACGTAGCCAACCGTGCTAATTGGAGGTGGGGGGGGGGGCATACATACGAAGCTGTCAGTCAGTGTGCAGTGTGATGACGATTGTTGTGAGTTTTTTTTTACGATATATGTAGTGGGCGCGCATATGGTGTACGCTAAATGGTTTTCCGCATTTATGTACGTTCTGTAAAAATGTGTTTTTTTCTCCCGTGGCAAAGATTTTTGAGTAGTTTGAGTAATTGTGCAATAATGCTCGCCTTAGAGCGCCGCGAAATAAGTTCACGAAACTGCGCGCACAAGCGTGGCTTTTCATCGCTATAACCTCGCTAGCGAAGCCTGCTCAATGCGGAATTCACGTTGTAATTGGGTAAATGAGGAATGTGGTTTTGTAAGCTCATGAATAAAATGTCGCTCACGAGAAGAAAGTAAAAAAAAACCACAACTACAGTAATCCTGCCAAGATTTCACTGCTCGGGTAGCCCCGCCTACTCGCTTTCTAATTCGCTTTCTAATTCGCTAAATCTGGTTGCTTGGCCGTTCACGAGCATTTGGTTCAAGCGAAGCCCGACTCTTGCCTGATGAGATACCTGAAATGTTGACAGCGGCCGCCAATGGGTTTTTTTCTGCTCGCCTGTTCCAAACAATCTTGATTTGAAGCTTTCGTGACTGCAGGAATCCATACTCTGGTTCTTTCGGTAAAGTCACGTTTTAAAACAGTCTGCCTCAACAGCAGGCCACGCTTTCCCACCTGATGACGGATGCTTGTGTTGCGCCCGAAACGTCGTGATTTATTTTATTTTATACCTACGTGACTTTACCGAAAGAACCAAATAGTATGTTCCAACCAATGCTGCTGAAATTAGATGCGACGTGGAGAGACGTCGGAATCGAGGCAGCGGATTGCCCGCTACAAAAGCCAGACGCGTTCTGGATTCTGTAAAACACAATAACGGTGTATCGTCAGTGCCGGATGAAGCTAGTGCGGGGACTGTGGCATATGTTGTTATAAAGGGGCACTAAATAAGGAAAAAACACGTAAATATTAAAACACACATTTTTTTACTTGCATAGCACTGGTCAACAAAAAGAACAATTTTTTTCTGGCCTGGACTTTTGCAGCTGTTCTAGACTAATTTCAGGGTGCTGATTCCAAATCTGATCTCAGATTTGCTCTATCAGATCTCATTTTATGCTATCGGCATACCCCATTTTTATTGATTTTACCCTAAATTAACTCTGTCACTTATGATTGCAAGTTGTTGCGAGTCAGTGACTGCTTTAGTGTTAAAATACGATGCTGTATTTTTAGGATAGTGTGTTTATAATATCATTTTATGTAGATATCCACAATTATTTAATATTTTTCTTCTGCAGTTTTTTGTTGAAAATGCAATATTTGATATCTCAAAAACCTGATAGACAAAAACTGATGCCAGATTTGGAATCAGCACCCCAAAATTACCTTAAAACCGTTGGAATACCTCATGCCAGAAAAAGTGTGTTGACCAGTGTATAATAAAGTAATTGTATTTTTTCATTTGCTATACAGCCACAGATAATTAATACGACAAATCGATAACCTTAAACGCCCAGTCGTTCATAAAAATTGAAGGCAGTTATAGTACTGTTCTTTGGTTCTTTCGGTAAAGTCACGTAGATAGGTTCAAAGAAAACTAAATAACATCAGGATGACGACTTCTTGTGTTGCGATCGAAATGTCGTAGCTTTTTGTTATTTTGTTATTTTCTTTTAACCTATCTACGTGACTTTACTGAAAGACCCAAAGAATATGAAACACGTAGGTAGGTTCAAAGAAAATAACCAAAAACTTCGTAGTTTTTTGTTCTTTTCTTTTAACCTATCTATGTGACTTTACAGAAAGACCCAAACAATATGAATTCCTGCAGTCACGAAAGCTTTAAGGCAGTATAGTACTATAGCAATAGAGCAAGTGCAGAATCACTGAACCGGAATTGAAACCTGGAAAGCATTCAGTTCGGGGCCCTTGAAAGTTTGGCGCCCGTAGCTACATGTGTAGCTAGTACTATACTGCCTTAACGCTTTTGTGACTGCAGGAATTCATATTGTTTGGGTCTTTCTGTAAAGTCACGCAGATAGGTTCAATGAAAAGAACAAAAAACTACGGAGTTTCGATCGCAACACAAGCGTTCGTCATCAGAAGAGGAAACGTAGTTTTTGGTTATTTTCTTTGAACCTATCTACGTGGTTCATATTGTTTAGGTCTTTCTGTAAAGTCACGTAGATAGGTTCAAAGAAAATAACAAAATAACAAAAAGCTACGACATTTCGATCGCAACACAAGCGGTCGTCATCCTGATGTTATTTAGTTTTCTTTAAACCTATCTACGTGACTTTACCGAAAGAACCAAAGAACAGTACTATAACTGCCTTCAACTTTTATGAACGACTGGGCGTTTAAGGTTATCGATTTGTCGTATTAATTATCTGTGGCTGTATAGCAAATGAAAAAATACAATTACTTTACTGTGCAAGTTAAAAAATTTGTTTTAATATTTACGTAGCTACACATGTGTAGTTACATATGTGTAGCTACACTTGTGTAGTTACATGTGTAGCTACTTGTGCTACTGGGATAAATCCGGCACTTTATATCTTGACATCAATCGTTGGACAGAGGCCTGACTGACAATACAAAGAACAAAGATCCCCCGTGTGTAGCCTTCACAGACTGTTGGGGCAAGTGCTGTTAGTGAGTAGCACCTATGAAGGCCGGAACGGCACACGAGGGGTGGGTGGGTGGCCAGCACCACGCCCGGCCGCCTTTGTCTTCTCAGTGACGACGTTTCTACACCGCACCGGGTGCTCATTTGAGGCTGAGTCGACCTAGGGGGGGAGAGGGGGACGAGGCCCAGGACCGGTTCAGATCATGCAATCAAACCCGCAGAAGCTCGCAACGCATCCAACCTTAAGTTGACAGCCTTTAAA